ATTTTGGAGTCTGGCTGATTTTCTTCATGCTCGGTTTGGGGACGCTGCTGCCGTGGAACTTCTTCATGACTGCAACCATGGTATGACATCACTTCCTGTCAGACAGTTTACTCCAGGCTATGAGTTTTGATTTGACTTTGATTGACGGACTCCTCCCTCTTCTGTCACTTCAGTATTTCACCAGTCGCCTGAAAAATGCAACGCACCTGGAAGAACCGACCAATTGGACGGCGGCGGGAGCTGAACATCGCAGCGTGCTGGAGGCTAAATTTAATAGCGTGATGACATTGTGCGCCATGCTGCCCCTGCTGGTCTTTACCTGCCTCAACTCCTTCCTTCTCTCACTGTGAGTAGCACAGCGCCCCCTTCCTGGACCCCCACCACCCCCCCACTCCCCCGCCTCAATTTGTCTGTTCTCTGAACTTCTTCTGACACAGTGGGTTTTTACATTTTCTCTGTGTGTGTGTGTGTGTGTGATAGTGTTCCTCAGCGTGTGCGTGTCATGGGCAGTTTACTCATCATCATGTTGGTCTTCATCGCCACTGCCGCCCTGGTCAAAGTTCAGCTGGAGCCCCTGCCGTTCTTCATCATCACCATGGTGAAGATCGTCGTCATCAACTGTAGGTTCATCAGCAGACTGTCTGTCTGTCCGTCCGTCTGTCTGTCTGTCTGTCCGTCCGTCTGTCTGTCTGTCCGTCTGTCTGTCCGTCCGTCCGTCTTCATCTTCATCCTTCTCTCTGCTCCTGTTTATTTCTTGTTCCCAGCCTTCGGGGCGGTGCTGCAGGGCAGCCTCTTCGGGATGGCCGGTTCGATGCCGGGGTCGTACACGACTCCTATCATGAGTGGTCAAGGACTGGCTGGGACCTTCGCCGCCTTTGCCATGATCTGTGCCATTGCAAGTACGACTCCACTGACATGAATCTGAACAATATGTTAGAGATGAATACTCTGCTATGATGAATCATTAAGTGGTGATAATACAGGATTATCATTTTATAAACCTCCCTCCTCTCTCCCCTCCTCTCCCCCCTCCTCTCCCCCCTCCCTCCAGGTGGATCAGAACTTCATGACGCAGCCTTTGGTTACTTCATCACAGCCTGTGCCGTCATATCTCTGACCATCTTCTCCTACATCCTGTTGCCCAGATTGGTAACACATACACACACTAACACACACATAAACACCAACACACTAACACACATAAACACCAACACACCAACACACTAACACACACACACTGATAATTTTGTTTGTCTTTAGGAGTTTTTTCAGTTTCATCAGAACAAGAAAATGAAGCAGACGACAAACGAGGACGTGGACAAGTCTGTCCACCTGAAGGCGACAGGTTGGTCCAACTTCCACGTTACACTTCACTCTCTCACACACATACACACTGGTGACACTTCCTGTTGATGATGGACTTCCTGTTGTCCTTCAGACGATGAAGAAGCCGACAAGGAGAAACCGAACGTCTCCGTCAGGACGATATTCATGAAGGTCAGAGTCCATCGATGGTCAGGACTAAAAGTCAAAGATACGACAAAAACCAGTCAACATCAGAAATGTTTATGTTTATGCTACATGATCTTAACTGTGAAATAAATGTTCAGAGATTTCACTTTTTTTTTTTTGGAAGTGTACCAACAGCAGATGTATGATTTTGTGTGACCTCTTCCTGACCTCTGACCTTTGAACCTCAGATCTGGCCATTGGCTCTTTCTGTCTGCTTCACCTTCACTGTCACCATAGGCACGTTTCCGGCCATAACAGCCGACACCAAGTCCACGCTGGCTCAAGGTCAAGCCTGGGGTCAGTAGTCACGTGACCTCGTCAGCCTTCATGAGTTAAAGTCAGTGACAGTTTTGTGTTAGTCCAGGTGTCAGACTGGGATTGGTGATGTTAGCTAAAGCTAACTTAGCCTTAGCCCAGGGTTGTTAGAACTGGTATAGTGAGCAGTGCATTGTGGGTAATCTTGCTATTCTGAGAGTACTAAACACTTGATATTAGTTGATGACGTGACCCTCTGTTCATCACAGATGTGTACTTCATCCCCGTCAGCTGCTTCCTTCTCTTTAACCTGTGTGACTGGGGTGGGCGGAGCCTAACAGCTGTGTGTATGTGGGTAAGTGAGCTGATTGACGGTGATGATCGCTCTCCTCTGTCACTGATGGTTAATCAATGATGCCTTGGTCCTGTTGTTATTGATTATTGATCAGTGATTGTGTCCTTGCAGCCAAAGCAGGACAGCCGGTTTCTTCCTCTGCTCATCCTGTGCCGTGTGGCTTTTGTGCCGCTCTTCATGTTGTGCAACGTGGAACCTCGTGCTCACCTGCCGGTCTTTTTCCACCACGACGCCTTCTTCATTGCCTTCATGCTCCTCTTCGCCTTCTCCAACGGATACCTGGCCTCACTCTGCATGTGCTACGGCCCCAGGTAGGATCTCCACAGTGGCTAACAGCTGTTAGCATGTTAGCATGTGGCTCCTGTTCAGAGGTGAATGAATTGACTTCTGCGTTAGTGTGAATGGTTTTTGAATGCTGGTGTGGATTAGTGTTGATGTGTTAGCAGTTTTTGTGTGAATGACTCAATGGATGTGAGTGAATTAATTAGTGTTGATGTGAACAGGTGAGTGAATGTGTGCCTGGGTGGATTCAAATATGTGAGTGCAATAGTGTCACAAAGGTTAAAGGTCAACCAGCTGATCCATAAGTGTGACCTCATTTATCAAACCCTGCATAGAAAAGGTCCTAAAATCTATCGTACGCATAAATTTTAGAATGTGCGTAAATACAAAAGAAAATCTGTATTTAAGCGCCATGCTCCGCATGTTTGGGGTCATTTGAATTCAGAAACGCCCCCTACTGACCATATATGGTAGCAACAGTCCCTTTAAAAATGTTGGCGTTGATTGTTTTCCATTCTTTGAAATTGTAAGGAGGATCAGAGAAGAGGAAAGTCTGTCAGTGACATTCAAACTGTCCAAAAAAAATAAAAACAAAAAAACGTCTGTCTTCCTTTTAACAGTTACCATTTAGGTTTAAGTTTGAATATTTAGATTTAACTAATAATCATATATATGAGTTAACAAATATAGTTGATAATGTGATAAAAAAAAATAATCATATATATGAGTTAACAAATATTGTTGATAATGTGATAATGTGACTTTTAAAAATCACCACCACTTTTTCAAACGTTTGTTGCTCCGCAGGAACGTTCTTCCTCATGAGGCGGAGACGGCCGGAGCTGTCATGGCGTTCTTTCTGTCTCTGGGTTTGGCGTTGGGAGCTGCGCTGTCTTTCATCTTTAGATCACTGGTTTGACGAAAATGTTTTTTTAAATAAAGATGTTTATAATAGAAACATGGACTAATATTTATAAAGAAAGGGAACAGTTAATAAATAAAATAAATTAAATTTAAAACTCTTTTGTTTCTGCTGTGATAAACTTCTTATAATCTTACAGTCTCTGTACAAAGGGTTTTATTTGTATAAACATATTTTCAAAGTAAATGGAAAGTAAAATATCTACAGTAATGGGGCTGTTTTTACTAAAAGTGAAGACATCACATTTATGAACAAACATCAGTGAAGTGTTTTATTCTTCCATGTTTAATATTTTACATTGAAATTAAAACTTATTCTTTTTATTATGCAGAAAACAACTGTTTTATTTGCCCCTTAGAAAATGGGCCAATGAGAGTGAAGGGCCGAGGTCAGGTGATCAGCCAGTTTTTGTCCTCTTCACAGCTCCAGGTAACCTGTTTTGCAGCCTAACAAAGAAAAGTGAAAATTGGTGAAAAATCTTCAGAGATTTGTCAGCGATCTTTGATGAGTCAGCAGGTTTGTCTGACGAGAAACTCACTTCATCAGTGTTTCTTCGAAGCGCGATCGAACAGACTTGATCAGTTCATCAATCTGAGACTGAACACACACACATCTCAGTAACAGGCTGATCTTCAAAGTAAACGGGGTGTGAACAGGTCGGTACCTTTTTCTTCTGGTAGATCAGCGGTGACATGAACAGGACGACGTCCGCTGCACAGGAACGTCAGAGGAAGGAAGAACGGAACAAAATTAAATCTTTAATGAAGAAGAAACAAAACTAAAAACAAAAGGAGAGACTGAAAGAACCAGAACCACGGAGAGACAGGAACATCAGGACCAGGACCAAGAGCTTGTAGTGATGTGTAATTCTACAACACGACCAGCAGGTGTAGAAGTAAAAGGACAGTTTTGAAAAAGGGATTTTGAGTGGACTACCATGAAGTACAGAAGAAATGAAAGAGCGGGTACAGAGGAAACACGTGTCCACATTTGGAACGTTCCATTTTCACTCAGGAGGAGAAGCATTTTACACCTTCTCGGAGCTCAGTGTGAATATGAAGTTCCTCAAACCTCGGACCAAAAGGTCCAGATGAAGACCACAAAACCTGACAGGATGGTTAAACTTCTCACCTAAAATCAGGAGCGAGAGGCCGTTAAAAACGGCTCCGATGTAGGTCATCAGCCACATGACCACTGCCAGCTGGAACGTACAAAGACCAGAGTTTGAGAACCACACTGAGAACAGGCCCCGAGAACACAAGAAAAAACACTGTAGAACCTTAACGGAGTCGACCACATCCTCAACCAGCAGGAGGCGCCTCGTCTGACAGATGAACCAGTTCACATGAATCAGACCCTGATCAATGAGAGGACGGACCGTCTCCGAGGACACAGAGATGTCCCTGTCCAAGAGAGACCTGAGCAACGGCACAGAGGACGACAGATGTGAAGAGATGACGGTGTGTGTGTGTGTGTGTGTGTGTGAGAGTGTGTGTGTGTTACTTGAATGGATGGCCCTCCTCTGACTTCTGAACAGCTTGTATCACAGCCTTATAAACCCTGTAGACAGGAAATGAGACAAACATTCTCACGCTGTGATTGGCTGCAGCTGCTGCTGCTGATGACGATGAAGCATTGTGATTGGACGGTACCTGAACGTGATGGTGACACAGAGACAAGTAAGCAGCAGATAGGACACCACGCTGATGATAGACACCTTGGACAAGGAGACGAGGACGGTCAGGGAGACGCCGAAGGCTGCGGCGGACGTCTTTGGTTGTTTCCAGCAGAACAGCTGCAGAGCTGCGGGAGTTCACGAACAAACGCACTTTATTTAAAATGTCTACGTCACAATCACGACCAGCCCCTGAGATGACCTGACCCAGAGGTTGGACACAGCCGTAGCTGATGACGTTCTGTAACAGAGTTTGAATAAATCCACAGAGAAACCAAACCAAAAAAAAAATAGATCTAGAAATTGCCTGATGATGGAACACACAAACACATCGAAGGTTGTGTTCTTATCTGTGACCTCTGACCTCACAACCCCGTGCCTTCCCTCCCTCCACGCTAAGCAGCTTTGTAATAATTAATGTCAGCTAATCAGTCAGCTGATCGCTGGAACAATGAAGCTTTGTCTGTGGACGAGGAGTGAACCTGACAACTGACTGATGACGCACGTACTACACGTACTACACGTACTACCTAGTACTGTCATTACTGTAGTTATTGATTATTCCCCTCCTGGGTTACTCTCACTATTTCACCTTTTTCTTCTCTCTCTCCCTCCTCTCTTTCTCTCCCTCTCTCTCTCACATACAAAACGTAACACAAACCAACTCTCAGTCATTGTTACGACGTCTATTCTTACTGTACACACAACCCAATCAGAGTCTGACTCTAACACAGACAATGAACTCATTCTGAGTTGATTCATTTTAACTGCAGTTCAATCGTTAACCTAACGACTGAGGCTCAGAAACGAGAATCTAAGACAAAAAGAGGAAAAATAAAGGCCAACTGGAGCGTTGACCTCTGACCTGAGTGAATGATGCGTCTCACTGATGAAGAGGACGGTGATGACGAGGGGGACAGTGAGTGACTGCTGCTGCTGGAGTCGGCCATTTTCTTCTTCTGACCCAACGCCGACACTTTCTCTCAATTTAAACCTGCATTAATGATGTCATCAAAGAGGCGGGGGGTCAGTGGGGGCTGGACTGTGGGGGTCAGCTGTCTGAGCTCACGCAAAAAGAAATTCCATAGGGTTACAGACAGCACTAACAGTGCCTAATCACCCCCCGCCCCCCTTTTTTATGACTACATCGCTGCTGCTCTTCAGAGAGAATCCTTTGTACATTTACTAATGTGTATTTGCAAAAAAAAACCCCAAAGATCCTTTTTTATGACTACATCGCTGCTGCTGGTGTATTTGCAAAGAAAAAACCCCAAAGACAATCAAAAACATTGCCACACAGAGAAATATTTTTTAAAAAAAACTTTACAATTTTGTGTGGTAACGTTGACAAAGCCCCTGGGGAAGAAGTCAAAAGAGAGAGAGAGAAAAAAAGCAGATTTTACAGCCATTGACAACAAACAACATTTAAACATATTAAGATTTATTACGACTTTTCCCCAAAAGTAAATGTGTATTTTAGAACTATGTTTTTAAACATTGGAAGTCACGTTGGTGGAGATCGTGTGCATTTATTTTTATTTTAGTTTGTAACCAGAACAAGACGATAAATAATAGGCGGAACCTTTGTGTCTGGCTCCAGTTTTCTGCCGGAGTCTTTTAGCGGTCGTACGACGGATACAAACACAGACTTTCGTAGGCGTATCGTTTTGTTAAAAAACCCACTGTTCGTGATGCCGGGTGACTGGCACCTGTTAGGTCCGCTGGAATGGACGCGTTACGTTAATAAAGAAGTCAAAGTAACGGCTGGAAAAGATGTCGAGCGCTGCGGCTGGCTGCTCACCGTGGACCCGGTGTCTGCGAGGTAACGTGACTCACACTCACAAACACGGAACCTGTTCCGTCTGTTTGACATTACATAGTTCACACACGTTGTTTAAAATATGAAATAAGTATGTCGGAAAAATTTCGTGTCTCTTAACTAATACTTACACCTGGTGAAAATGAAGTGGCCGATGTGAGAACCAGTAGATGGCGACACTTTGCCATAGTTGGTTTGTCCCTCTGTGTGTGTCTTAGTGAAGCAAAACGAGTCTTAATGCCTTTTATTTGTACCTAACAAAGTCCGTCTGTAAACTTTAAAAAAATATATAACCAGGTGTAACTTACAAGCAGAAAACTGAAAAAAAAACCCGAGTATGTATGTAGTTACACTAGGTAAGTTTTGTCAAAGTGAAGTAAATAACGCAGTATTTTAGTGAATCCTGAGCCGCTTCACTAAGAGCTCGCCTGGGTTTTTACTTGATCAAATATTAAACTGAATCCTGTGCAAATGGCTGATTTCATGGCAGCTGTGAAATACGTTTTAAATGTATTTAATAAACGAGAGACTCAAAGTCAAGACAGATGTCAGATTATTTCTGGCAGGAAGTAGGACTATCTGGTCTGATTCTGCCCCCTCCACCCCGCCCCTCTCTCTCTGTACTTGGTCGCTCACAGCCTGGTTCTGCTGGACTTCAAAGCAGATGGTCAGACGTCAGTGGACCTGGTGATGGGTCACGCTGTGAAGGAGGTCCAAGTCTTACAAGAGCCAGACGAAAAGACCCTTAACCGTCTGCAGACCTCGTTTGTTCCAGTGAGGAGCTGCAGCCTGGACTCAGAGGAGCTGAGAAGGAGAAGGGCTTCCCTGAAGGACTGGCTCCAAAAGAACCTGATCCCTGTGGAGGAGGAAGGGGAGGAGCTAAAGGTGGCAGGGGTCCTTCTCATCAGAGCCCCGTACACACCGGACGACTGCTGCAGCTCCAACCAGATCATCCTGGACCGTATACAGAAACTGATTCACAATCTGGACTCTCAAAACTCCACAGATCAATGTGGGACAGATTAAACCCCGGCCCACCAGCAGAGGGCACCATTAGGAAAGAAACGTTTGGTCCTGTCATGAAATTGTAAATAAACTCCATGCTTAAGCTAATCAATGTTTAATTATGCTGATCTGTGTTTTTTTTTCAAGTGGACAAGTGTGAAGCCAACATCATATGACAGGTGACGTCATCAGGGATTGATTTGAAAACGGATGTTTTCTCAGAGCAGCTGCTTTTACGTAATGACCTTAAAGATTAGAGGTGATCTAAAGGTGAGAATTTGAGAAGTTGGTGAAAAATGCACTGCACTGGAACATGTAGACCTGGACAGAAGAAGAGTAAATCTACTGAAGCAAACTGAGGAGAACTTCACTACGTCAGTGGACTGTAGAAAAATCAAAGCTGGTGAACCTGGCTGAAGGATCAAGATCAGACTTAAATGGAGAGATGTGTAAATATGAGACAGAACAGGAGGAACTGCACTGTCTTCAACCATAGTGAACGGAATAAAACGGTAGAAAACACTGGACTCTGGACCAACGTTTGTGCTGAGATATGATACAAACACATTTATTCCCTTGTTTGGAAGAAGGCATCATCACATTTGTTTACATTATCAACTGTCAGAGACGAGCTCGTCCACCAGAACCTGCACAGTACCTCTGTTGTTCTGGTCCAGTACTTATACGCTACAGACAAACCAACACCTTAAAGTCAGAGTCAATGTTTGGAGATTTAGCCGAACTCCTACGGAACCATCGAGGATCCGTACAGATTCCGAGCCGAACCAGATCTCAGTTCACAGATGAACAGAAAAGAAGATCCAACCACAGACGAATGTTCGACAAATTAATTGTGACATCTTTTTCAGGACACATCACATGATCAGTTCTTTAGTCTCTGTCTGGATCAGATCGCCGGTTTGATCCAGTCAGCTGTAGTGTTTAATAATTTAACCAGCTCCTCTCCACATGCTGTCAGGCAGCCCACATGCTTTTAAAGTCCAGACTGACCGATCACAATGTAGGTGGTGTGTCCAACATGGGGGCGTGGCTTAGGGACTCCCTCTTGTAGGTCTTGGGAGGAAGTTTGGGAACACTATGGCGCGGGGGAACAGGCGGGCCATCCAAGGGGATGACGGTCGGGGAAGGAAGAGGCATCTTCCTAGAGGCGGGAGTAGGACTGGGGGTGACAACGGGGGGCGAAGAGGCAGAGGGGGCGGAGCTGATGGAGGGCAAAGAGGAAGTGGTGGACGGGAAAAAAGCCTGCGAAGGACGGCCTTGTGGAGGCGGGAGGAGGTGCAGAGGAGAACTGAGGGGCTCCCTGGGAGGCAGCAGGGGGGGGCTGTCTGGTGGTGAGGACGACGACAACGATGAAGAGTAACGAGGAGGGAGGAGTTTACAGGTGGGCTGACGAGGAGGGACCGCAGGAGGGCTGTCCAACTTGGACATCATCTGTGTGGGGAGAGGGAGAGAATGAGAGAGTTGGTGAGTCTGGGGGAGTGAAGGGGGGGAGGAGGAGGAGAACACCTGAGCTGTGACATCATCACTTTTGTCTACAGTTTCTGATCTGGGTCTGGACACGTTTGAACATGATGTTAAATGTTAAGGAGGTTCTAGACTCTGGAGCAGTGACGGACCTTGGACGGTGAGGACTCAGCCGGTGCCGACTCTGGTCGTCGTCGTGGAGGAACCGGAGGAGGAACTGGAACATCTTCTAAGCCACGAGTCAAACTGACCATGGAGGAGACGGAAGACGACCCTGGGAGAACAGACACAGCGTGTTGTTACAGATGAAGGAGTTTTGAAGAGTTTGAACTGGACTTTGCTGAGTGGAATGGAACATTATCCACACACACACACACACACACAGATGTTTGACTGCATGATGTTGCCATGAGCAGCTGAAGGTGACGACAGGTGAACAGTGACCACGCCACAGTTAACTGTTACAATGGAAACAGCTCAGAATGATGACTTCAGTCTGTGGTCAGTCTGTAGAAGGTCTCTGGTCAGTCTAGTAATTCTGTAATAAGTTTGTTGACCAGTCTACAACCCCTGGTCTGCTGTCGTCCTGTGAAGTCAACAAGTGAATGAAGAGCAATGAGAAAGTAGCCACACACACACACACACACACACACACACGACACAAATGAGTCTCAGCTGGGTGTGGGATGGAGGGCAGGTTAGCCTTAGCTGTATCTAGGGTAGGGCTCCCCCTGTCTGCACTGAACTGTAATGAGTCTTTTTGTCCCAGAGTCTGGGACTAAGTCACAGATGAGGGATGAGCACATGGATACGACCAGGAGACTTGTACTAACGTGGACCGTGGGGAAGAGAGAAAACTGCAAAGATACTGTCGCAGTCTGTGAAAGAGGAGAAACACTGTGAGGAGGAGGAGGAGGGGAAGAGGAAGAGGGGGGGCAGATAGTTTATCTGACGCCCAATAGAAACTCTCAGCTGTCCGGGGTTTAATCGGCAGGACTTACTAGAGTGAAATGGGCTGCTGGGACCCTGTGGTGAGTCGAAGACGCTGCCTACATCTGTGGAGCTGGAAGCTGCAGAGGTGGGAGGCGGGGTTAGAGGTGTGCGGGGCGAGTTGGGCGCAGAAACGGCGATCCCTTCCACCTCTGGGTCAGGAATGCGGCTGTAGCTGATCTTTCTGGGTTCGTTTTGCAGCGGCGTCGGGTGCCTCATGGTCCCGGGTCTCGCCGACGTGGGACGGATCCCGGGAGATTTCAGGGGACAGGTGTACTTCTTTGCCTGAAATAAGATGGCAGTGTTCAGTCTGCGGTCGGGATCGAACCCGTCAGCTGTGGTGACGACGATGGTACTCACAAATCGAGGTAAAGAGCGGGCGTTTCGAGGTTCGATCTCCAGAGATTTGTTAAACAGATAATCTGCAAAATCTTTTTCGGACATGTCCTCCATCGGGTTCAGATTCTCAAAGAAGTTCTACAACAAACCGGTCAAATTTAAAAACAACAGTCAGACTGCGGAGTCTTAAACAGACCAAACTGGTACACACCAAACTGGGACTCACCCTGATTTCGCTCTCGACCTTCAGACAGTACGGCTGGTTCTGGTACTGTTGGATCTCCCCAGTGATTTCCGCCACCTTCCGTCTCTTGCTGAAGTTAATCAGATCTCTGCCATGTCGGCGCAGGAAGTCCGGGTTTCCTTCCTCTGTCTTCAGGATGTTGGTCAGGTAAATACCTGTAAACAACAGGTGTCAGTGTCACCGTCAACTGTCATGTGATGTCATCAGCAGTTGACCTTAGAGTGGGTCCTACCAAAGAAGGGCACACAAGGCGGATTGATGGAGCGCAGCTTAGCCAAGTACTTCTTGTAGTGGTCTTCACTCAGCTCGTGCGCTTCCTCCAGGATTTTTCTCTGTCGACTCGGAATTTGCTGCCAAAACAAACCACCAGATTGATCAGATGATTGTCCTGCTCAGGTGTATGCACGCTAATGAGTTGACATTGGTCCTAAGTTACCTCAAAGGTGTGGTCCAGTCTGTACACCGGTGATGAATTCATGGCACAGACAACCTCCAAAACACCATTAAAGTTGTTCAGCTCCTGAAAGACCTGCAGGATCTCGATAATCCGAGAGACCACCGACACTCGCTCCTCCAAGTTCTCTGTTTCTACTATACACCTAGAGAGAGAAAAACACACCTGCAGTGAGACACTGGAACTGCGGATTCGTGCACCAGTGAGGCCGGGGGGGCGGAGTCTTACTTTTCAAACCACAGTGTCAGGTTGGTGGTGTGTCGGATCATCCTCAGCAGGTTTGGAGAATGAATCTCTTTGTCTTCTTTGGTCCAAACGCTGCCAACCAGCTCTGATGGCTGCACCGCCCTGCAGGTGTATCAGATGGTGAGTCCCAGGAGTGGGGGGGGGTGAGGGTAGGGAGGCGGAGGGGGGTTTGAAGAGTGACAAGAGCCACTAACCTATAAAAGATGGACTCCAGCAGCGTCAGTTGTCGGGCGATCTCGATGGGATGCAGGGTCATCAGGTCAAAGTTCTCTATACTCCCCGGTTTACAGATGTGCCACTCGATGGGAGGAGGAGAGTTTTGGAAGGTGATGCTGTGACTGGGCCCGCTCACCTGAACCTGCTTCTTCCTCTGGATGATCTTAGTGATGGACTCCACCCACTTTCTCATGGCCTTTCCTGAAATACATGACATGGAAGGACAATTTAAAATGACGGCGTCCCCGTCGTCGTCGTATGTGTTGGGCTGGGTGTGTTTACAAAGGCAGTGTGTACCTCTGACTGAGCAGATGAACTCCTCCAGTCTTCTTAACAGATCAGAGTCTCTTTCAAAGTCATAGAAGTGATGCTCGACCCAGTGACGACACACATTCAACACTCTGGAAGACAGAGAGCAAAGAAAAGGCAAGTGTTCAACTTTAGTTTCAGGATTATCTGAACCCTTTATTAATCTAAAACTTTCAATCTGGTTCACACTAAAGTAAAACAAAAATCTTTTTTCTTCATCCCTCTGGTTATGTTCCATTGCTGTTTAATCATCCTCCAAAAGAGGATCTAAAACCTTCAGTCTCCTTGAACTGGACAAATCAGTTCTCTGCTCTCATCTCACCTCAGCTGAACGGGTTGAACAAACTCTTTCCTGAAGCGCTTGAGTTCGTTGCTCAAAGGCTGCTCTCCTCCTCCTCCTCCCTCCATCTGGTCCACGTCGTTCATTCGCGGCTCTGGAATCTCGAACCTGAACAAATAAGACCCAGGCCCATTAAACTCTGAACACATTGGAATCTTCAAAAGCAAAACACGCACATTTAGACAAGTGGAATAAAACCACAGACAAAGTCATGTGATCTCACCTCTCAATCAGCAGGTCCAGCAGCTCCTGAGGTTTACAAAACGACCTATACGTGGTGAGAAAGGTCCGCACGAAGTTTGGATCTGAGGGAAAACAGAAGAACGTAAAAGAAAACCCAGGAACGCAGGAATAAACACAGAGCAGAACCAGGTCAAACTAGAACTGAAGGGAACAAGTCGACGTTAAGACAGACTGGAGGTCAGGACGGACCAGGACTGGTGTCAGACTCGACACAGACCCCAACCAGGTGAATGATGACAAGACATACATTTAACGAACAGCCAATGACGTCGCAGCTCACCTGCGTACATGTGGAATGTCAGCCTCTCGATCAGTTTCAGTACCGTCCCTGCTTTGATGATGGGGATCCCGGACTTGGACTGCACATTTTCCTCAAATACAACGTTCTCCTCAGAGTCCGGTTCAGAGAAGCGGTACAACTCGGGACCGGGCAGTCTCATCTGCTCGTCCTTCTCCTCCTGCAGCAGGGCAGAGTCCAGCATGCGCTCTAAGGTGCTGCGGTACTGCAGCGAAATCAGTGCCGCCATCCAGCCGTTCTTCTCCTCCGCGGACTTTGCGGCGAACACCACGCTGTTGCCGTCCTTCTGTATGATCTCGAAGGCGTGTCGGTACTCGCCCTCCTTGTCATCCTTGTCGTTTATTTGAACTTTCCTCATGAAGAATTTCTCTTTGAGTCGATATTCGGCCATGGACCCGGCTCCAGGAAGCCGCGGCGGGCCGTGGTTGGACTTGCAGCAGATCATCAGACCGTCAAACAAGAAGATGTGGCGCTCATGTTTGGCGCCGACACGCGTCAGTGTTCCCTCCATGATGAACTCATTACAGCACTGGCCGATGTCTTTCCCTTCCCAGCCATCGATGTTCTTCTGGATCTCGTTCATCTTCTTAATGGCAAGCTGCTTCCCCTTCATCTGGTGACTGTAGAAGCGACACGCTGACTCGCTGCAGAAGACGAGAGGAAAAAAAACTTGATGAAGAAGGTGGAGCCTCGATCTGAGAACCATGAACTAAAGACTAGTCTGGGAGACTAAGAAGAGAAGACTGAAATCTAGATCCAGCATCCGAAAAACTGGAAGTGAATCCACCATTTTGACCTTGACTAAAGATCTCAATAAATAATCTTTTATACCAGGACCTAAGCCTTTAGCCACTAGACTAAACCAAGGACCTAATGACTTGGACCTAGAGCCAAGATCTACAGACCTGGCACCAAAGGCCAGCAGACATGGACCCTGAGCTAACACCTCAAGGCCTGGACCTGCGTGTCAGCACCTTTAGATTCAGACCTGATGTGAGGAACAAAGACCTTGACACACACACACAGACATCTAAACCAAAATGACAAAACATCCCAGACACCGTGCCCCACGATGCACTTGAACGCCTCACGGAGAGAGTGAACCAAACACATCTGACTGCTCTTTTATTCTGAGCCAGTTCAGGCCAGTCACTAATCAGTTTATACCTAAACCCCTCTGGTATGTTAGCGCTCTGTTTCACAACTGCCCCGTGTATCTGGAAGCATCTGCTTCCCAGTCCATTAAATGCCTCAACATCTGCCCTGTGTTGGTTTACCTGCCCTTATATCTGCTCCACTTTCCTCTAACTGTGTCCATCTCTGTCCCGTGGTCATGTGGTGGCACCCAGACTGCCCCACATTCCTTTGAACTGCCCCTGGATCTGCCCCGGTTCCTTCTAAATGACCGTACATCTGCCCTACCACGCTGGTCTTTCTGCTTCATCTCTCTTTGACCGTTTAGAATCTTCAGCTGAGAGACAAAGAAACCAAAGGAAGAAAAAGAAGAGACGTACATCTTCATATCCACTTGTCAATCATCCAAACATGTCTCCTTGTCTCCTTGTCTGCTCGGCTCCTTGTCTCCTCGCCTCCGTGTCTTTCCTCCTCCGTTTGATTTAGTTTGTTGAGGCAAAAGCACAAAGTATTCCACTTTCAAAACTCCTGACTTTTTCTTTTCTTTCTCACAGAGAACAATAAGCTCCTGAGCTCCACCTACACGGTGACGCCACTTCCTTCAGGCACATGACACACACAGACACACACACAGACACACACACACACACAACCTGTGACCCTGACTACACCCCACCCGTGGTCTATTTTAGTCCAGGACGGGCGGAGTCAAACACCCTGTGTTTGTACTGACTGTTGTGTGACCTTGTTTTTGTATCTTGGCGGGGACATGGTCTGTGTGTGTGTGTGTGTGTTACAGGTGTATTATATCTTTATACTGTGACTTTAATGTCCCTGTGAAATATGTCTTTATTTTAATTTTGAATCATTTCAATGGCATTTTGGCTAAAAGTTAGATATTTGTTGGAAATATCTCATTCCGAGCAAACCTTTGAATTATCTTTTAGCTAAAATTTCATTTTATTGTGGGCTACCTATTACTTGTATTACTTATATTTTCAATAATCTGTAAGGTTCTAAATTTATTTTCACAAAGAAATTGAACATTTCTGACGTTACTTTGCCAAAAGTCAAACATTTTCACTGCTGTCCTATAATGTTTAGTTGATCCATCAGCTACGTTTTTTTATTTATTTTTTTTATTTCCCTTTGGCTGGTTCCTGGCTTACGTGCTTTTATCTTACAGCCCAGCTGTGTGTGAGTACCTGAGCCTCCTCTTGGCCAGACTCCTGGAGCAGATCCTCTCCATGCTGCTCTGCAGGTTGAGCAGAGCAGTGATGGCCTGTTTCAGACACTCTTTGTCCTCCTCGTCTTCACTCTTCTCTTCAAGTTGCTGGGGAGAAAAAAAACAAAAACAAAACACCCACAACTTTATTGTAGCACTTTTTTCATCTTTTTTTTTTTAAACTAAAGAGCTGGTACAACCCCTGCCCGTTACACTGATTGGCTGATTGATTGATGTTCTTACCTTCAGTATGTCAAAAAGGTGCAGACAGTGGTAAACGGGTGTGAGCAGCGGTCTGGGAAGAACATACTGAACGGCTTCTTTGAATCCTTCACAGATGGACTGAAAAAAAACACAGTACATTTGAAAACCCCTCCTCAATCAAACTGCAAGGTAATGTGGGTAATATACAAAAATACGTATAACCATAATACTTCTGTCTCTGTCCTCCAGCCAAATGCCACTCTTACCTGCAGGTGAAATGCAGCTCCAGGTTTGGTCACCTGACCCAGGAAGTGTTCGTGGAAACCGGAGCGTAGAACATCCTGAGTGTAGGACTCGTAGGGGTCGAAGGCTAACTCCTGTCAATCAAATGATCTATGTGTGAGTAAACCACACACACACACACACACACACACACACACACACACACACAGATGCCGTCTAACCTCAGCTAGGTCCTCAAAGCAGTTTCCCACCAGAGGATGAGGAGCTTCTTCATCAGTCATCTCCACTGTGTCTTCAATCAAACCCAGGAGCTTCACTGTCACTTCATGAATATCAACGATGCGACTGAAGATACTGTCCACATCCTGGGGATCAATATTATTGATTAGAGCTGTGCGTGCTGATACATATATCATATAAAAAAATCCATACTTTGGCACTATGATTTATGAAAACGAGTGCTTCGCAGAATCCTCTTTGACAGTTTTTTTTTTACGCACTAATTCATGACGAGTATAACCAATGTGACGCCTATTTGTGTTTTTTTTAATCAGCATTCCTGTCGGCTCGCCTCTATCCTTGCTCTCCTTGCTTCGTGGCCGCAGAGGAGCCCAGGGCAGAACTGCAGCGCTGGATGTTCAGTGACAGGTGAATCAATGCAACACACTGGTAAAAAACAACAACTAAGTTTTGTTGCAAATTAAGTAAATGAAGTAAATGATGAAGCATCTACTGTCTGCCTCACCTCACATGTTTCCTTTGTTCAGTTTGAGTTAGTGTGAGGCTGAAGCAGGGCTGTCAGACACATTAACATCAGTTCAGTTTACTGGGAGACACAACAAGATTAGATCTTTTCACACCAGATACAGCGCTGCATCCAAAGGACATCTGCTCTAATCAGTTGACATTGGACCAATGTGCACACACTGTGTGTGTTGAACAAAGTGAGAAACACGGAAACCTTCAAGCAAACGGAATCAGGGAATGTACGATAACAAGGAAGTTGAACGACTAATATAAGCTTGACTATTTTCACTATAACCTAACGTTAATGTTTAACTCTACTGCTGCTGTAACTCCATCTATCACAAAGACCAACTCCATCGATCAGTCACATTAAGAATGACTCCTGCTCAGCAGTGACTGCTGTTGTTGGTTGATCCTGATGGACACAGTACATACGTGCTGAGAGTAGAGCATGTTGCTGGAGATGAAGGGTTCTCTGAAGACTTTGATCAACAGGTTCAGCTGTCGCTCGTATTGACGAGCGTCCGACATGAAGCTGCGCAGCAGCTCGTAGTAACTCTGCTCCTCGTTAGCTGAAGGCTCCTCGTCCGTCAGAGGAAAACCGCTTATGTCGTCGTTCTCATCCTGGTGGAACATGTCCATCAACACCTGCGGGACGTAAAGCGGACACAGGTGAGACACACGTTGTCTTGTGTTTGTCTTGTGTTTGTGTGGATACAGGTGTGACTGTGCGTGTACCTTGTCGGCACACATGGCCACTGTGATGTCCTGTTGTGAAATCTCATAGTGGCGAATATTCCTGACGTAGTTCCCAGCGAGCTTCAGGATGTCGGCGGAGATGTACTCCAACACTGCAACCATGTATACTGACACCTGGTGGTCGATCTTGTAGCCCAGCACCTCCTGACACAGCGAGGCATCACAGAGACGTGGTAAGTCGTGTGTTAATGCGTCTTGGGCCTGAGGCCTCGTGTGTTTTAGCTTTTCTTAAAGTAAAGTGACAGTGAATGGAATCAAATCAAATACTGTGGTTAAGTTAAGTGATGAGGTAAATAATGTCAACGGCACAGCATCAACAGAACCTTGAGTAGTGGGTGGATCTTGTCAACAGGCAGCGCCAGAGGGTTCCTCCTCTTCCTCTTCTCAATAGCAGCCTGAGCATCAGCAATTGCCCACTTATCAATCGGGTGAGGAAAACTCTTCTGCACACGCTCCTGTGTAAGTGGGTTTAGGAGGTAAAAGAAAAAAAGTTAGTGGGTACAACCGAGGAGTTAATATTATTTAGAGATTTTGTATTATTTAACTAAAGAAACTAAATCAATGTTTGAAATACAAATCAAACATTTTTTTTAAAAAACATCCTGGTCTCAGTGTTCAGATATAATCTGTATAAACTCAACTGCTTTGAGAGCCATAGAAATGATATTTCTTACATCTAAACAATGTCTTCACAGTTAACAGCCTAAATCACAAGATAGAGTATGAGATATAAGAAAGTGATAGGAGAGAGGTTGTTGAGAAGACGTCAACAAGGCCCATTCTGAGAGTGGACCCACTACAGGTCACTCTGCAGAGCAATGCTTTTCCAGTTGCTGAGCTTGGAATTCTGGGACTTTTCCAAAATCCAATAGTCAGCCTTTTACTTTGGATATAAAAATGTTCATATATTTTTATTTAATTGTTATGTTTTATTCAAGTGTGTGTGTGTGTGTGTTTTACCTCTACATCTTGAACACTTCGTGGTTGAGCCTGACACAACAGACTGAGCAGCAGAAGAATAAGCTCCTCTATGTACTGCAGTGCCTCCTGCTGGGAGACCAGGTTAGGATGAACCTGCTTCAGCACCTGCAGCACACAGTAAATATTCAATAGTTTGGATGATAGTTTGTTAACAGCAGAAAAAGAAAATAGCTCCAACAATCCTGAAACTCTCTGCTATTTGTTTTATTCAAAATAGTATGAATTCTAAAAAGACAAATGTTGGCTGCTTCGTGACACGTCTTACTTTTAGAGATATTTAAAGATACCAAGATCCAGGCTCTGTGGAGGCCGATCAGGCTTAAACATTACGGCATTGTGTATTTTCCCTCTCCATGTTTATTTCAGTAACATTTTCCGATGAATATGGGATAATTACGATGCAGGAAGAAAAATCTGTTATGGTGTTATGTTTCATTTCCACATTTTAAACCAGTGTAATAGAGACAAATTGGTTTTTATGACCATCTGCATCTTCTAGTAAATGGATAATGGGCCTGTCATCAACGTCCATTTATAAACCTAAACTATTAAACGGTTGAAACTGTTCCATTGTCATGATGTGCTAAACAACTATTACAACACTACAACACTTGACTTCAGCTGATCATCATCATCATATGATGTCAGATTATCTGCATTATTAGACCACAACAACATGTATGTATACACACGTTAATATAATAATAATATAATTTTTTTTCTTGTCCCGTCAATACCATGTGCAGGCAACACTGTTTTGTGCTACAACAATCTGTTGCCAATTCCAGCAAATATCTCTTAATTTGAAACGTGCAAATAGAAGGCACATGTAGATCGCACACGTCATCAGTACAGTGGAAGTTCAGAGGTCAGACTGGGGACCAGGCCTACACCTGTGTGTGTGTTTTTTGTATCTACCTTTTCCAGTGAAGGAACTAACAGTCCTTTCCACTTCGGTGAGTTTTCCTCATTGAAGAAATCGTACTGAAACTGTGACTAATGCATGATGATGATGATGATGATGATGATGCTACTTCACCGCCGCTTCAGCCTCTGGTATTGATGCTCCTGTTATTCCTGCAGCTGCTGCTGCTGTTGTTTTTGTTGTCGTTGTTGCCGCTCCCGCCGCTGCTGCTGCCGCTCCCGCCGCTAATGCGGTCTGTGCGGGTCCGAGCGCCGCAGCGGGACCGCCACGCACGGTTCGGCGGTTCACATGAACGCTCTGCGTGAGTATGCGGGATCCGCGGGGGCGGGGCGTTCCTCCACAGCAGATGTCGTCACCGCCAGCATCGTTGGCCGCTGTACAGAGGCTCACCGCGGCCTGATGGTCTTCCCGCAGCTAAGTGTTAGCTCCGCGGCTAGCAGCTTACTGTAAATCAAAGCTTTGTTCACCGGGACAACATTATATAGAGCGGTCACCGTTCATATGGACACCGCCGGTTGGTCTGATAGCATGTAGCCCGGCCGCTAAGGTTAGCAGCGGTTAGCAGCAGGGGTAAAATGATAGGGGCTTTACCGGGTTATTGATGTAAATCAGCAGCAGTGGGCTGTAAACATGTTATTCTCGCCCCGTCTCTGTCTCCGGAATGGTCTCAGACGATCGCAGCTATGCTGGCCTGTATGAGGCGGACACTCACCGTCATAACGGCCGGTCACCGCCAGCGATGCTCTCTTGTTATCACTCCTGTATACGGTACCGTACGGCAGTCTGTCGCGCATGCGCTTCAAACACATCAACGTACACGCAGTGAGCTCGTGAGTGGGAGTGGCTTCATGACACGGCGCGTGGCAACGGCTCATTCGCTGCTGTCCTCTAGTGGAAACTTTAGATACTGCAAGAAGGAAGCGGGGTCACTCTGATGCGCATAATATCAGTGAGTCAGAATAATTACAAAGTCGTACTACCTAAATGCATTTAAACAACAAATAAAAACAGCTCAGGTTTTTACGAGAATTGTTATTTTCAAGTATGCCAAAAAACAATTAATGTTTACTACAAATCCCCGTCATTCCTATATAGGGTGTTATGAATGCAATTATAATATCCAGGTCTGAGTTAATCGTGCTTACGTTACTATGACATAGTTAGTTTATATAATGCTAAGGTAATTAGCTAAAATAATTCCCTGGAAGCAAAATGACATCATTTGTTTGTTTTACAGTCACTGTCAACATGATATCTAAAATACAACTTGGGACTGACGTCCCTAAATTTGTGGTGATGACTGAATGCCTCCCATAGTGACGATGACCAGATGGCTAACTATAACACACAGATCCTTTGTTCAGTGCCGAACTATCACAGCTGAAGAGGCAGAGCAGATGATTGTCAGATATGTTTATTATTGATGAAATCGCACACCTATGGACAAACCTTATCAGAATCTTTGATTGACATGTGGCTCTGGGGCTCGATCATTTAAGCCCCTCCAAAAGGGCGCACAAACTCAGGGACACAGTCAACATCAGTAAACATTATTCACAAACCAAACAGGTCAAAGTTTGATTGTTCAGCTTTAAATGTTCGCATACAGTGACAACATTGTTAGGGATTTATATTTGTCTCAAAGGTTGTTTTCCGTTTACGAATCACGGTCGCACATCTGCAACGTTTCACTTGTCATTACTCAGTCACAACACCACCTTCACATTCATACATTTAAATACATATTATATACACCTGTGTACATGTTTCGAAGTGCTAAGAGGTTCTGAACTCACTCAGCAGCAGATGGGTAAATGCGAATGAGATTTAGACAAACACATATCAGTCCTATAGACCTCATATAAAAAAAGGGACACGGGCATCGGGGTACTTGGGTACTGTAGACCGATCAGTCCTATAGACCTCATATAAAAAAGGGGCACGGGCATCAGGGTACTGTAGACCTCAAACACATATCAGTCCTATAGACCTCATATAAAAAAAGGGACACGGGCATCGGGGTACTTGGGTACTGTAGACCGTCGAGCTGACTCGTTTGTATCAAAAAGCAAATCCGTACGAATGAATGTCTTTGTCAAAATGAGGTTGTTTTATAACTTCCAATTTTGTAGAGCTTATATACCTCAATTAGCATATTGGTTCTTTATCTGACTGTGACTCAGTCCATGTGTGACATGGCTCCATCAGGGAAAAGGAGATGCAGGGTTATGCTCTGAAAGAGTTGTTTGATTGAGACTTACATTCATATGGAGTTATTTCATAAATTAATCAAGCTAGTCATTGACTATAAATAGTCAATAGTCTATGCCAAAGACTCTAGGCAATTTGTTTTTCTTGATGCTTCATTCACCTTCTGACCTACGATGATTAGTGACGGATGATTCTCATATGTTACGTGATTCTACTCGAATGAAAGGTAACAGCAATTTGTTGTCAGCATAACGCTAGCAAATGTCTGTACATCAGCTGCTGAGAATTTTTTAAAAAAGGGAACAAAAATGAGTCAACATACGTACAGTGTGTGTATGTACATCAATGTCCACATCATAAACACCAGCACTGTGTGAAAGTCAGCAGGGGGCGTCCCTTTCATCTGCCCAGGACCAGAGTTAATTAAAGCGCTCTGTGAGCCCCGCCAACACTGCCTGCTTTCCAGCGTTGGCATTTTAGACAGATGACTCGCGGGCGTTCTTGGACTGTAGTCCTCCAGCTCTGCTCAGGAATGGAAACATGGTCCCAAGGCAGCCGGACACCACCGTCAGACCCAAGCTGGTCCAGGCACAGTACAGAGACCAGCCATAACCGTGGTCCACGTCCTCGGGCAGACCATATATGAAAGGTGGTTTTCTAGAGAGGTCGTAGGTCACACTAGCGGCATAGGTGCACAGAGAGATAGTGCAGAAGATTCCTGAGGACAGAGAAGAGGCAGGAATCGTTACTAAACCGAGACGACAAATTTGGCATAAATAGCAGGAAAGCATTGATTCTTTATATATTGTTCTTTATTGAGAATAGAATAGTAATGACAAAAAGCTCGATTAATTTGAGATCTTTTCTTTAATGTGACGACACGTTTACAGTTCCTCGAATGCCTCCACAGTCATCACATCTCCTTAGAGTGGAGCGACTGAGATGGAGGTGGAACAGGAGATTCACCTCATGAGTCTAAGGCTGACGAATCTGCAGAAACTGTACGGCATTTTTTGAATGTGGACCAAAAATCCTGAGTATGATTTTTAGCATTTGTTGTCTGGGAGTACATCAGATTATTTCACTACTGAATCTCAATTTAATTTCTCTATCTCATCAAGTACAACTGCTGCGTCCTTTGGCAAGACTGCTGTTCTAGGAACACACATTTTTGAAGTATGTCCAGCCAGCAGAGGAGTATGGGTTTTGCGTAAGGCTATGACTGGAAAACGCCAGTCTATGTGTAAATTTCACATCAGTACTGAACCGTCGTTTAGCCTGTTGTATCAGTAGAGGTCGACACAAGTCCAAAGAAGGATTATTTACCTGCCATGAGGAAGAGCAGACCAGACACGTGCTGCGTAAGACTCTCTTCCCACACAAAACCTACGGACACTACGATGCTGCCACACAGGAGGACAGCAGCTGCCATTCCCAGAAAGCCTGCAGTAATGCGACGTAGGTCTGTGCACACACACACACATACACAGTAGTGAGAGAAACACACACACACGAGCAGAAACAAGAAAAGTGATGAGGAAAACTGTTACCACGGTAACCACTGCCTTGCTGTACTGTTACATAAAAACGGAACTGACTTCTTTCTATAGCAACCAACTCTAGGTGCAGAAAAAGTTCAACCAACAGAAATAAAAAAAAGTGTTATTAAAGTCATCTAGGAATTATAATCAATACTTCAAGAAAGTGTTATTAAAGTCATCTAGGAATTCATAGGAATCAATACTTCAAACTATAAATGAGTTCCAATCAATAAAACTGAACTGGTGTGCATCATTTAGCTGTGATCTGTATTTCGTACAAAACAGAGGTCAGTATTCTGGTATAGTGATTATTTACAGATTATCATTAAAAAAGAAAGTATCTCTCTCTTAATCTGACTATAATCACACATATAACTGGTACTCGTCAATAAACAGTGAACACAGAGAAATAGTGTCATTTGATTTATAGCATTAATGATTCACTAAATTGTTTATCAATATTCAATAATATATGATCAATAGGTTTGTGTGTTGTTCAGTCAGTGTGTTTGATTGGTCAGACAGTTTTTTTTGTAAATAAGTCATTAATTCATTTATCCAATCAGTGTATTGTTTGGTTGATTATTTAGTCAGTAAGTTAGTCATATGCTTGGTTAACTAGTGAGTAATGAGTTGTTATTGTAGTTTATAATTAACCTATCAATTGACCAAAGAGTTAATTATTAAATCAGTGAGTTAGCTAGTTAATTTGGCTACTTGGTCAGTCAGTCAGTCAGTCAGTCAGTCAGTCAGTCAGTCAGTCAGTCAGTGTGTGTGTGATTCCTACGCAGTAGGTGCCACTCATCCTGTTGAATCGTCCTTGTCAGGTTCAGAGGGATGTTTCTCAATCTGATTGGCTGAGAGAAGTGGTACTTCACCGCTGTGCAGCGATCAGCAATACCTGGGGAGACAAGGGGAGACAAGGGGAGACAAGGGGAGACAAGGGGAGACTTGGGGTGAGATAGATGTTGAGTATGAGACAGGAACAGATGAGACAGAGACTGTGTTTATCATGGCGTGTGTGTGTCTTATCTTGGTGGATCAGCCTGTCAATGTCTGGCTGCTGCCTCTGTAAATAGCCCTGACTGTCCAGTGAATGCATCACATTAAACGTATTAGCGTGTGTGTGTCTGCGGTGTCTGACCGTGTGTGTGTTACAGTAGGAATGGCTGTGTGCTACCAGGTGTTGTTTTAGTTTCTCAGTGTATTAAGTTGTAGGAGTACACCTCCATACAGTCCAACGTGTGTTACATGGTATTAGATGTAACTGGTACACTGTGTTACACCTGTTCTCTTGTCCAAAAGACTGTGGTTTTGCTGTTCAGTGTCTGGGTCCAGGTTCCGGAATGATCACTTCCTCCAGAGACTAATTAGTGTCAGTGTGTGATCAAGTGACGTGTGTTACAGTTATTACGGTGTATTTGTCTGTATAATAGTGGCAGGTTACAGTATGTTACACCTTTGTTACAGTTGGTGTTTGTATCATGGTGCAGCGGGTACTACAGAGTACATACATATGAGGTAACGTGTCTTACCGTGTGTGGACGTCATGAGTTACATGGTGTGTTTACAGTATGTGGACGTAACGTGTTCACAGCGTCTGTAACGCAGCGTTAACTGTATGCGATACAGTGTCAGTAGTGATGTGTTACACCGTCTGTGTACAGTAGGTGGTTCGGTGTGTTAGTGACAGTCTGTGTATCCGGTGAGTGGCGGTGTGTGAGATGTCTCACCTCGTTGGATCAACTTGTCAATGTCCGGGTCCAAGTTTTGGAAATAGCACTTCCTCCAGAGTCCATAGTGTGTGGAGAACAGCGGCCTTCCACACTCGCTCTCCAGGATTCCCATCCCCAGGATGGCTCGCCAGTTCTCCAGCAGCTCTTCCTCTCTGCTGCCCACATGCACGGGCTTAAGCAGCGCCACATCCCGCTGCCGCGCCCCGCTGCTGCCGGTGTCCACCAGCGGCAGGTGGTAGATGGGCATCTCCCGGTTTTTCTGGTCGTTGGAGTCGGAACCGTGTCGGTCGCAGTTGTCCTTGTGTCTGCGGGTGTCGGTCTCATACCAGTGGTCAGTGGAGATGGCCGTGACCAACAGCAGCAGGGACAGGATGCTGAGCGTGAGGCTTACCGTAGATACCGTCACCGTCACTGGACGGGCTCGCCCCATGGCCGAACCGCACCCGGTCCCGGCGCTGCTCTTGGTCGGGCTTGTGTCGCTGTGTTCGTTACTCCGCATCTTCTGCAGCCATCCTCGCTCCCGTTATGGACCGTCAGCCTCGCGTCAAGGTGAACGCGGTAACGCGCAGCAGCAGCGGAAACACGGCACAGGCGCCTTCAAAATAGGACAGAGGGGATTTCTGAGCCCCTATTTGAGAGATTACGGTATGATGCTTCCAGAACAATTGTGGATATAAATAAAACTGATGCGGAAACATTTTTAGTTTTAGTTACCTATTGTTTTTGGGTCAAGCACGACAAAAATTAAACAGTAGCTCGTCATTATGCCATCATGTCTTTCAGGACAGAGGCAGAAAAAAAAATCAGCAGATTTTTTTTTTCAAGAAGCGCTGTAGTGATGCTGTCAGCAAAACGTGAGAACGAATCGAATTATGATGTTTACTGCAGCATTTACGGTAATGATGCTTGTAGGACAAAGAGAATAAGAAAATGCTGTTTTATTTTGTTACGTTTTTAATGCTAACAATACAAGTTAAATCAAATAAAGCCGGGGGGGGGGGGGGGGGGGGGTTGGGAGTTGTTCCTCAGCCGATGCGAGGGTCTATAAGGGCAGGGGAAGTTATTCTTTCTAAGAGTTTATTGTACTTGCTTAAAATGTCTCATTTTTGTACTCTAAGGTCTGAGGGTCATGGAGGTAATTATGCCACTCTGGGTTTGATTTATCTTCCTTATTAATTTTCTCAACCCCACCCCGTTCCTAAATATTGACAAATATGGAGTTTGTACTATCCCGACTGTCCGAAACGTGCTCTTGTAGCAGGTTTGGAACAGGTTTGTGAGTTGTTGTTGTTGTTGTTGTTGTTTTTCAGGGATACAGACAGTCAAGTAAGTACCAGGGGTGATCAGATCTGGGGCTGCAGGGTGTGGAACAGATTACTTCAATCCAGAAAGTTTGAGATGATGAAGGTGATTCTAAATATGTCCTCTCCGTCTCTTTCTCCGTCTCTTTCTCCCTGTCTATCCTTCCATCCTCCATGTCACTCAAGCTAAGGACTCTTCTGTATCCGTGATGACCTGGTGACTGAGGCCTCATGGGAAATCTCAGGTGACTCAAAGTGACGACAGGGGAAAAAAATGAAAGTTTCTCCATTAAACTGATCAATAATTCAGCAGTGTCGCTGCAGCAAATCTGCTGCTGCTTCCTGTAACACAACACTCACCCTCCTCACCCCATACTCCCCCCAACTCCCCAAGGAGCCCCCACTTACCTGTGAACTTGAATTTGTCCCCTCTGAGTCCCCCTATTGATTAATTGTCAATCTTATGATCACAATATCAATTAGGCATTTCGTGATTCGTCCGTGGAAGTGTGTGTGAGTGTGTATGAGAGAGAGAGAAAGAGAGCGAGAGAGATGGAAGGAAAGGATGAAAGGTTTACTGTAAGCAAATTTCTTGATTTACAGTCTGAGTCAGGGTTGGATCAGAGGTCAGAGGTTACTGATCAATACTCTGGGTTGCAGGGGCAATTCCCACGATCCTTTGCTCTACGTGTGTGTGCGTTATTAACATTGTAAGTATCAGACGTTAGCAGAGGTTATTGATCATTCCATCAGGTTTATCGGCAGATGTCGAAACGTTATTTTCCCTAGGACGGCGGTGGGAGGCAGGGGGCGGGGTCAGTGGGAAGTGAGCAGGGAAGGAAAAGGTTGGTGAGGGGATAATATCTGTGGCTGTGTTTCATTAACAGTCACAGCATAAGCAGAGTTTCACTCGCTGAGTCTTTAAGTGCTGAAGTAGCAGGAGCACTGAGGTCGAGGGGGAGGAGGGCATCGATCCCTGTCTTCCATCAGGTCCTCAGATCAGTGAACAGGCAGTGCATCACAATCAGACCAAAGAACCTGCTTTGTTTATCATTATTACCACCATCATCATCATCATCATCATCATCATCATCACAGTAGCAGGTCCTCAGTACTTCCTGTTTCTCTTTCACAGTAAAAGCCTGGAACATGATCCAGTGTCCAGCATAATGATGTCATCGTTATTGATGACAATAATTATCATATCGATCAGTGTTGACATTCAGACCACAACAGCCGACAAACAAACAACAGCTCTCCAGACTCCGAAATCTGTGATGTCTTAAACTAAAAAACAAACAAAAAAACTCAGCAGGTCACAACATGCTGTAATGATTTGATAACATGGTGTTTTACTGCACCAGGTCACAGACTGGTCAGAGGACATCACTTCATTATCACTAGTGACAAAATATGACAAAATCATGTCACACTACAGTCTGTCAATGTCAAATTCATATAACCATCACCACGTGACGTGGTGTCATCACATGGTGTCATCACATGGTGTCATCACATACAGCATGTCACATTTATGACACATCCTCGTCTAATCTCAATACTGTGCATTATAATGTTGATAAAACACGTTAAAAATATTGTGTACCTGCAAAAGGTGTCAAGGTCACATGACTCCACCGTATGGTTACACGTTAGGTCTCTGGCTACAACATGAACATGTGACCGAATGGTTGTCCTGCTCAGGCTTGAATGATGGCGAGTGTTTTTCTGCGGCAGAGCGAGACCTATCCTCTGACAACACCGTTCCCATTTTAATGAGACTTTACATTAATATTCTGATCAGAGGAGATCTTTGTTCTGTGTGTGTGTAAGAGAGAGAGGGGGGGGGGGACAGTAAACATACATTAAGGCAGTTACTGTCAGCACCACATCAAACACACCAGGCCCACTGATGTGCACAAACACAGACACACACACACAAGGTGGTGTCAGATAATGAGGTCCACCAGCCCCTCGCCCACTCGCTCCCTCACCCTCGTTAAATCCCAGGAACATTGGAGGAGACCAAGGACACGCCTACCTTCACACTGCCCCCTGCTGGTCTGATCAAACACCCTGCCCACGCACACACACGCAAACAAACATTTCCGCCTCCTTATTAAAGGATCACTGTGACTTATGTCCAGCATGGCCCTCCATGTGGTCGCTGACTGCTTTTTAAGTGAATCTGTGGCAGGGTCAACTTTTCTGTTCACTTAATTATTAACACTGATCTATTCTACAGTACTTTATAGGATACTGAGGGTAACCTACCCTAAGGTACTGTATCAGTATCTGCACCAGTATTGATTGCTCTAAGACAACAAGGAAAGCTAAGCTTCCTGTAAAATCACATAAATTGTCAAATATCATTTTATTTCTGTTTAATTAACTAAAGTGTGCTCTAAATATGATATGGCCGGGTCATTCAGGATTTGCTGTTTATCAAAGATCGTCTGAGGCTCATTTGTTCTCAAATTAAACCATGATCAAACGCAGCGTCCTTTGGCTTCTGTGGTAAACATCACTTCCATATTGATGGTTTTACTGGGAGTCTTTAAAAAGGGTTTCTTCACCTAAAAGTAAGATGAAGAATTATTGTTATGTGTGTCTGTTGAGCCCCTACATTTCAAAAAAAGATGAATGTTGGGCGGAGGAGTGACCAAAAGTGAAGCGCAGAATTGATTGACATTTAATATCATGTACTTTACATAACAAAAAAAAAAACAACGTGGCATCATGTTTGACCCCATCTTTGTCGCAGTGACTGAACTGTATCCATAAACTAAAGATTCAATGTACTTTACATAACAAAAAAAAAACAATGTGGCATCATGTTTGACCCCGTTACGTCTTTGTCGCAGTGACTGAACCCAAGATTCACAAAAGACAGACGCTGACATTATCTTACAATTATGTCAGTCCACACAAGTTGACCACAGGAGGCAGCGATGGACCAGTACTGTAGTTTGTGTGCACATTAACTAAAAGGCTGATGGCTTCCATTGGCTTTAGTACGGTGTGTGACCTCAGCTTCCTGTCGTTTAGGTCATTTTTGTTAACGTTATTGCAGTGTGTTATGTATAGGGACGTCGAGTGGTCCGAAAAGAAAATTCCACAGAGAAATAATTTATAATAATAATAATAATTCTCCTCACTCATTAGCGAACAAAAGCAGTTTATGGTGAGTTAACATATTTGAACTCACCAGTGAGGACAGGAGCAGATCAACAACTTCCTGTTTGTTATTGGATATACTGTAAATACCAGTGAGACACAGCAGTGGTTATTCTATACATACATATACGTATTCTGAAAGCTGCAGTGTGCCACACTGAGCAGTTGGTTTTCAAAACCATTGAATAAGCCTGTCTGTTTGATCATTGACTGACTTTTCAGTGTGATCGCTAAAACATGTGAATGTGTGTGTGTGTGTGTGTGTGTAAACCTCAGCTTTATCTGAATTATTTATCGTCCTCTCTGTGAAATGGGGTGGGGAGAGGGCGGAGCTGATAAAAATTTAACGAGCACTTTGAAGTTTTTGCTAACGTGAGTAAAATGCAGAGATGATTTTTTTTTTTTTTTTAAATGGACGAGGACATGTTTCCTCCACGGTGCTCAGCTCTTAGTGCAGCCATCTTCTCTCCTGCTCCCTGACCTCTGTAACCTCCTGCCTCAAGGTCAGACAGCTCAGTGGTCAGGCACCAAACTCCAAGACAGTGTGCTGCCCCCTGCTGTACACACTGGTGCAGTGCTCAGTGCTGGCATTGCCAGGTAAAGCCCTGGGGCATACGCTGGTATCTATTAGTAGCTTGCTATTTTAAAATCAAATCATTGTAGTCTGACGTCACTGCAGAGAAGTTACCCTTTTTGGCATCTGGACTTTTTCAAGGGAGTTATTACATTTTGTAAATAATTCTCTGCTTTTACTATATTAAAATGTGACATCACTGACCAAAAACTGTGTCCTTATCAGCTCTGTATGTTCCTATAAACAACAACAAAAAATGTTAAAAAAAAATTCAGTAGTGCCTTACCGTTTTAGTACCAATACGTAGGCTGATACTAAAATGATGTTAAAAAAAAATTCAGTAGTGCCTTACAGTTCACCGTTTACTTTCAGGCAGCGCTGTGGGGTCATAAATACACCGTTTCTATGATATACGTATAAGGACATTTTGATACTTTTTAAAGGATGTCTTTATGTCCATGATCAGTGTCAGAGAGTTTTTTATGACTTGAACATTGTGGGATTTCATTAATTATTTAATAGAATACATATTTACAAATTCAGAACTGAGAACTTGACCCTCTGAGTTTCTGATAAACCCAACCCCATTTCTAATAGGAATAAGCTTTTAATAAACTTTAAATAAACTTTTTTCTTTGTTGTTTTTGCAAAAATATAACATCCTGTCACGTTAAAGTCTCTCACATTCAAACTCCACGTCTGATGCTTGTGGAGCCTCAATAAAAAACACCTGCTTGTCAGTTGACACCGTCTGCAACATGCAGGGCGGAGATCTAGCCTCTTCCTCTCTGTCTTGGACTGGTTCTGGTGAGTAGTTCCTCCCTGACTGTTTAGGGCGACCCTTGCGTCTGGCCCCACCTCCTGCTGCAGGTGGGCGACCCCGAGCATCAGCCTTTGCCTTGAAGCGTTTCAGCTTGACCGAGTCATTGGCACTACGTGCACAAGGCAGGAGGATGGCCACATCTTTGCGGAACTTTGAGCTGAGGCCAAAGTAAATGAGTGGATTATAGAAACTGGCAGACTTGGCAAAGAGACGTGTGAAGATGCTGGTGAGATTAGGCACGTGGAAACCAAATGCAGACCACATGGAAACAACAGCATATGGCGACCAGGCAAGGATGAAGGCAGTGCAAATCACAATGGAAACCTGAGGAGACGTACAGGTGAAGGAATAGAATTTTGCAGAGAAAGTTAGGGATGCAGATACAGCAGGTAACCTGTGCTGAACTACTGTATAGTGTGTATGGCCTACAGCATATTGGGAAAGACTCACGATGGTGACATCACGCTCCATCTTCCTCTGCCGATCGCTAATGTCGCCCTCTGCTGACATTGCATTGCCTCGCTTTACTGTGTTGATGATTGACACGTAGCAGAAGAGCATGACCAGCACTGGCACCAGAAAGCAGGACACCAAGATGGCAATGATATAGGAGCGGTGCACGCTTGAGTACGACGCTTTGGCCCAGTCAATCTCACAAGTTCCATAACCGCGGTCTGTACGAGGGCAGAGCCATACGGGGGTCAGAAAGGTCAGATGGCTATTATAATATATGAGTTTAAAGGTGGTAAAATGTTATAGTGTCATTGACATGGAGGGGCAACAGTCACAGTCAGGGTGCAAGGATGTTAGACTGTGGAGTTCAGTAAGTTATAGTTCATGGTCGGGGTGTCTTCAGCCGAGGGTGAGAAGATAAGAAGGGGAATGATCATAGGTGAGGGTTTAGACAAAAAAAAACTTAAATAAGAATTCAGTGGTCATTCTGTTTAAAAAATATGACAAGAGTTAAAGGTCAGAACCTGTGTAGCTCCCCCAGCCCAGCAGCGGAGCTCCAGACCAGAATCCAGCTGAGACCCAGATGAAGACAAGACACAGGGAAATGGAGAATCTATTGATGTGACGAGCTAAACCAAACACACAAGACATGTTTAGTTAATCCATGATCCTATTATAGCTACTTAGGCAGTATTTAACATTACTAATGAAACATTTTCTCCTACCCTAGGTCTATTAAGAAAACATCAGTAGTTGCTGTGAGATTGTAAACCAGCGTTAACTGTTTTTTTTTCTACCAACATAAATTCAAACAACTTCACCTCTGTGTGGGTGACATCCTCTGATGTAGCGAGTAATGCTTACGACTGTAAGGGTGTTGATGCTACTCAGCCCAAACATCAGAGTGAAGAAGCCGTCTACCTGGTGGACAAAATGGGAACTGCAGTTATAGCAGTTGTATCTGCGTCTTGATGAAGATTTGTGTTCGCTTTACTTACTGGATGTTAGGAAAAGTTATTAAGATTTAGTTTAGTCTCAGGTGTGTGATGCTTAGGTGAAATACCTGGCATGTCCAGATGGAGGAGATCAGGTAGCCACTGTCCTTGAACACATTGAAGATCTCAATGATTCCTCTGGAATATCCAAACACCGAGATACTGGCATCAGATACAGCAAGATTGAAGGTCAGGTAGTCTGTGGGCTGCAGCGTTGACCTTTGTCTGTAGAGCACGAAAATTACGATACTGTTTCCAAACCAGGAGAGCCAGCCTAAAGGCAGTATAAGAAGAGTCTTAGAGAGAACACGTTGATAACTGTGGTAATACAAGAACACGTATGTGCCCATGCTCACCCAGCAACAGCAAGTAAACTCCAATAACGGTCTCTCCCTGGTCAGATAACGGAGGATCCCTGCCAGTGCCCACCATAAAGCTTTTGTTTCTCCAAGGGGCACTGAGTGCTGCAGTGCTGAGACCCACCACAACACTGCCGGACGCCATGTGAGTTTAAAGAGGAGTGAACAAGCTTAGGGAGCATCATTGCTCTTCATCCACACTAAAGATAGACTCTTGATACTGGATCAAGTCCTCAGAACACACAGACAAACGATTGGCTTACTGACTTGTGATGTCATACTCAACACTTGGTTGGAACACCTGCTAGGTAATACAGTTATCCTGTGAACCAATCAGAGAGAAGAAGCTTCAGAGAATAAGCTACAGGAAGAGATTTTGCGCGAGTGATACAGGGGTCAGGGGTAAAAGGTCATGGGTTAGATAGGAGCTGGCAAAAAGACTGAGGTTACTTGGGTAAAAACGCCATGGTTCCTGCCTTGTTGGCCAGTCAGCTAAGGCTCAGACTAATCTTCTGACCTATGAACTTACAACTTAATTCCAATGTGTGTGTTGTCTGTATCTGTGTTGGCTTAATGCAGTTTGGTGCAGAGCAAGTTCCTCCATTAAAACAAAAAGATTAGAAGTTAGTGCTGTTCTAAAATAAAAGTTTATTTGTCCATTTTATCTCTCTGGCAGTTAAGTGGTGACATTTTGTGTGTGAAATGTAAGGCTTTATTAAAACAGGAATCCTCAGTTATGTTGCCCTTTACCAGCGACAACTATGGTAGTGTTACAATAAAAATTGTAAAACCTGTTTTACGTAGCTCTCCGCTGTTTTTATGTTCAAAATATACGGCTGAGAAGGAAGTTTATTCAAATATGGGGCAACCGCGCCATAAAAGGAAGTAAATTTCTTTATATGGAGGAACGTAGTCCGGCAAAACATGTTAAAAGCTGTATCACTGCGCGCTGAACTGACATTAGTGTACAGTGTGTATGGAACTATATTCTGCCGCAGACGGACACTGCTAGGCGTTCTTCGGTATAGTGATGGCGGGGGCTGGGCCTTAGTGACTCCATTAGAAAACATAACTTTTTTTAACTCGAGTGAGTTTTATGATAACACGGGTTGAAGTGGTTTACGTCAACATGGGTATGTTTGTGTCGTGGTGTCGTGCGGCACTCTGGCCTAATTTCACTTTAATTTCCTTATTTTTGCTGATGGACGTGGAGCTTTGCTAAACTATATAGCTAGCGTTGCGGTTAGCTCCCTCAGCCGGGGCTGAGATCCCCGAGCTCCGCTGGAGTGTTCGTGTTTACACCGCTGCCTCTGTAGAAGGTGAAGGAGGGGGATTGCAGGCGAAAATAGTAGGGACGACGCGCCACAATAATGGGCACCAGAACTGGATCCGGGCGTGCGGGTAACGGAGCTGGGGTGAACAATCTGTCTGTGGAAACACCGGGACCTGGACAGGGAGCCCGGTTTGAAGAGACTGAGATTCTCTACAGTTCCGATCAGGACTCGGAATCCGGAGACGAAGAGGGTTCAGGAGGAGAGAGGAGAGGAGTAAAGCGAGAGAGGAGCGATCGAGAGGTCCGGCACCCCTCAGCTTCCTCATCCGTGGGTCAGGGCGGGGGTCGTGTGGGGGTCGGTGCCGGTGTGCCAGGAGCCAAACCCGGGAAGAAAACCAGAGGAAGAGTAAAGATAAAAATGGAGTTCATCGACAACAAGTTGAGGAGGTACACAACGTTTAGCAAGAGGAAGACTGGCATTATGAAGAAGGTAGGTAGTCAGAGGTCACAGGCAAAAGTTTTGCGCATGTCAAGGCTGCTTTTAGGAAATCATCAGCGTTGAATACAGTTCTATGCATTGTTTCATATACATCTATTCTCATAACTTGCCTCAAACATTTTTTATTTATGTATTTTGAAGACAATCTACTGTCGATTTCAATTATTTACTAATGTTATAATCTGGTGTGATAATAATAGTAAATAAAGGATCTAATGTGTATGTTAAATAAGTTAAAGTTCTGCCCAGGTGGTCAATAAAAACTAGGGCTTCAGTATGAATATAATCTAAATAAAGTTTTGTATGTTCTCTCTGTAACTACAATACATTTTCATATATGTATGTATTTATATATATGATATATTGATTTAAGAACCACATTTCACATTTTCATATATGTATGTATTTATATGATATATTGATTTAAGAAGCACATTTTCCCAGTCATTTATTGTTATGTTGACCTTTCTTTTTTCTGCAGGCCTATGAGTTGTCAACACTGACTGGTACTCAAGTGTTGCTGCTGGTGGCCAGTGAAACTGGTCATGTATACACATTTGCCACCAGAAAGCTTCAGCCAATGATCACGTCAGAGACAGGAAAAGCCCTCATTCAGACCTGCCTCAACTCACCAGACTCACCCCCACGCTCTGACCCTTCCACTGACCAGAGGATGAGCGCCACTGGTTTCGAGGAAACTGATCTTACCTACCAGGTGACTGAGGGTGATGGCTGTGCTGAGGTCACCAAGGTAACGTAGTGTTGTTGTTAAGGGTCTGAGATCAGAGCGGCTCCAGTGTTTCAGTTTCTGATTCCCTCTGCAGGATGTGGCCAAACAGACTCAGACCATCTCCTCCACCTCTTCTTCATCCTTGTCCACTGTCTCCATGCCGGTTCAGACCAGCAACCCCACATGGCAGCAGTCCTCGTCTTCAACCAATGGAACTGTGCTGAAGACATCAGCTGGTGTGGTTCTTCCAGCAGGCTTTACCTTCATGCCAGGTATTTGGGCATGCCCCCCCCCCCCGCATCCTGTATCTGTAGTTTTTTTCTTATTCACACTAACCTCACGGCGTCCTGGCCCCGCCCCCTTTAGGTACATCACTGCCACCTGGCACACACACCATCCCTCTCAGCCAGCTTCAGGCGCAGCCTCTGACCACTACGCTGCAGTCTGCGTCTACACAGCCCACCACACTGCTCCGCCTTCCCGCCACCGTGTCACTGGCAGGTCAGCATGCTGCCCCATTCACCACACCTGAATCACTTTTGTGTTTAGTAAAGAATAGGGTTGGAAACTGAATAAGAATAAAAGCAGAAAATTGTACATAAAAATGTACAACCCTCAATTTAATCAGTTTAATCATAAAAATGTACAACCCTCAATTTAATTGATCTAGACAGTTTTTGTTCTGTTAAAATGTGCATGATATGGCTTAATAAAAAAGTCTATTACAGCTATAGATACAAAATATAAAAAAATTGCAATATATTAGTTTGGAAACTGGTTTGGGGTTTGTTAAAATGGTGCACAAAAAAATCAAAATCAATAGCTGTACTACTGCAAACCCACACTGATGTGATATAGTACATTATTGTGACTGTAGGTTTTTCCCTGCCTTCTCTGGTCAAGATCTTCAGTCTCTAATAAAGGAGGACTTCACATGTCATATATCATTGGGTGACCAGTAATAGTTGCTGCTTCTCTGTGAACTTGTCGTCTGTATGAGAGCATTAACACTGTCCCCAAATTGACTGGAAAAACCTAACTGTACTCATCCATCATTTTTGACATGTTAATGTGCTGAGTCAGCCTCTGTGTAACCTTCTGACAGGAGGTGGAGTCTCTCAGCAGCTGCAGACGGTCCAGGTGCAGTCCAGCAGCCTCGCCTCCAGCAACCACAGCAGCTCGGACATCCACATCTCCACGTCCTCCTCAGGTACGAGTAAAACCTAAAAAAAACTAGTTAAAGGTAACTAGAAGTAAGTCTAGAAGTAACTGTCAGATGAGTTAAAATTTAAGCCACATCTCCTCTGTTTATAATTGACTTTTCTTATGGTCCCTCTATTGTCTCCTCTCTCTCTCTGTCTCCTTTTGTCTCTCTACAGCCAGTCTTCCTCCTTCTATGACCTCCCCGACTTCCTCCTCTAATTCAGTGGCAGGTCACATGATGTACCCAGGTGGTCATACCGTGATGTACGCTACGCCCACGTCCTCTATTGGTGACGGCAGCCTCACCGTCCTCAACACTTTTCCAACAACAGGGCATGCCCAGTCACATGACCCTGGTAAGAGGCAGATTGTTAAGATTTTTATTAACATTATGACATCATCTTGTTTTGTTTTTGAACCTGTTTTTGTTTAATTGTCTTTATTAATTCCATCAGGTACTGTCCAGCAGGTCTTTCTCACCTCGTTGCCCCCAGTGGCTACTCAAATTCCGGTGTCGACAGTGCAGCTTCACCAGGTATGACTCAGCACAGAGGTCAAAGGTGAACCCTGTGACAGACATCATGTTGACATTTGTTTGTTTGTTGTCCAGATGGTGATTAGTCAGCCAAGCAGCAGCAGCAACCTGACTGAACTACAGGTCGTCAGTCTGGATGTCCACCAATCAAAAGACGATTGACGTCACCGAACACATCAGTACAAACACGTGATTTGCTCACTCAGCCAGGAAGGTGCAAACAGACTTCCTGTTCACATTTGTTCTCTTCATGCAAAGGAAACCGGAGCAAAGACTCTGCTATGATGCTGTGCAACACACCATGAGTGATGAAACCAAGTGTGTTTACGTGTGATGTGAACGCAACAGAGACATCAACATGTTTCAAATTTTTAAAGTGCCAAATACCAAGACGTTTCTCAATGGATTTATGGTTATTGTGGTGATGATGTCATCACTGACTTCACAAACAACAGCTGGAGTGTAGCTTCAGTATCAGTGAACTCACTGATCTCAGTCAGTTTGCATATCGGGTAATGTTGTGATTATTGATGGTGATCTGCAGCCACTAGGTGGCAGGGTGGTTAATGTTAAGGTGCAAGTCCCAGCAGTAATTGATAATCTTTCTTTCTTTTTCTCCCCTACATTGTCAGTGGGGGAGGGGGGTTTCTACAACCCTGAAAAGGATTAAGTGGTAGAGGATATAAATGAAGGATTATTAGCAGTCTGATCAGGGGCTTTGGTGTTCATTGTAAAGTCCTTGTATCGGCCTTTCTTGCAATCAAGCTGCTTCATGTTCACAATGAAGCACAGTGTTTTGCCCTAAAAAATTAAAGATGGCTGCTTGGTGCATTCCATTTGTACTTTACTGAGTGGGGTTCCCCCATCCTCTACCCAGAAGTAGCAACGGTAACCCTCACTCATGTAATTTCTGCTTGTCAGCCTAGGCACACTCTTCACAATATAGTCATCATTTGTTTAAGAGCTGTATTTTGTACTGTTTTTATAGCACTTTTGTTCTGTCAAAGGTTATTTGACTTCACAATTCTTCTAATTCAAGGAACACAAAGGCTGCAAAAGTGTGGCTAAACACAGAATAAGACAACTATTTATACATACATATTTAAGCATATATATAATAATATGTATGTCCTTACGCTTATGAACACATATTTAGTCACACATATTTATTTGTGGCCACACGGTGGCAGATGTTGGTAGGACACTTGTCTCTACAGCAAGAAGCTCACTGGTGCCATTCCCAGGTGATCTTTCTGTGTAGTGTGCATGTTTCTCCCATGTGTTCTCCACATATTCTCACTTCCTCCCACAGCCCAAACATTGCATAATTGCCTTTGTTCAGCCTTAAGCGGTTGATACCTTTTTATTACTGTTGTGGTAAATAATTATGCATTACAGTTTTTATTGTGTTTTGACTTTACCAATTTGCCTGTATGTCCCAGAATAGGACACTGGTTCCTTCTCCATTTTAAAATTATTTGTTTTAGAGAAGAGCAGTATTTTTGTATAATACAACAAGACAATATACAGTAAGATAAGGTGCAAGTGTCAATCCTGAATTGGATGCACGTATATTAAGGGCTGGATCCAAGTGATTTCTCTGATTAGGATGTGTTTTTTTTTTTGCGGGATTAAATATGAATTATTGATTAAGCATGTTTTTAAATATCTTGCGGGATTAAATATGAATTATTGATTTTTATTGAAGCATGTTTTTAAATATTTTCCCAGCTGTTGTCACGGGTTATGATGCACAAGGGTGCAAAACCAAATTGTAACAATAAAAAAAAGGTTCTTACCTGAAGTGGTTGTGACTTGAGGGACTGGGAGGACTATTTTGACAAAAAGTTCAAATGGATTGCACCGTTAGGATCATTGCAGTTTATATCAAAATGATTATTTTCATGTTGTACTCTATTTTATTTAATGAAAAAACACGTTTTGTAATTAAAGTCTTGTTTTGTTTTTTTCATTAAAATATAAATTAGTCTACAGTTGTATTTTGTGATTTTATTTTTCCATGAAAAAGCCTCGTAACCTTCCAGTGTGGATTTTTCCATGAAAAAGCCTCGTAACCTTCTAGTGTGGAAATGACATCATGTCGCGCGTCGCTGTTACGTCAGCGGAGCGACACATGCTTCGCTCTCTCTCTCGTAGCTGTTAGCCGTTAGCTGCACAGCGTCGACATCTTAAGTGTGTTCCGGAGGCTTTTGTAGTGACTGAGGTGAATTAACTGCTCAGAGGACGATGGCGGCCGCCGTAACACAGGGCAGAAAGAGGCTCCTGAAAGAGGAGGACATGACTAAGGTGGAATTCGAGACCAGCGAGGAGGTGGACGTTACCCCCACCTTCGACACCATGGGCCTGCGGGAGGACTTGCTCCGCGGAATCTATGCCTACGGTACGCCGAGGTGTCTCGCGGCCCTGTGGCGATGGTGTCGCTAGCTTTCTGTACCAAGGCTAAATCAAGTTTATGGATATAAAGTGACGTTTTGTTTACAATATAAATTTCAATTTAGTGAATGGAATCCGTACATCCATTCTCCCCATCTTATTTTAAAAAGTACTCACGTTCCGACTAGCATGTTAGCATAACACGCAGGTCTTCCCGCTAGTAACTCCCTGCGTGTTCATTAACAAGAGAATAGATATTATAGTGCATTATTATTTATATTTTATTACTTACTATATTTTTACTATGCCCTTTCTATATTGGCGTCTTCCAATAGGTGATTTTAATGCACTTGGTGTAGTTTTGCTTCAGTACATTTAACTTGTAACAATGAGGGTTAGTCTCTGATGCAAGAAGACCATTGGCAACTTAATGAGCAATAAAGTTGCTCCATATAAATGTGTGTCTATGTGTGTACTTACTGACTTTGTAATCATAATATCCATATATTTATACTTTATAATGTCTCCAGTTTTTTATCAGATTATATTTTTACCTGTGAGCACAGCTATATAATACTTGACACATTTTCTTTTTTTGTTTCAGGTTTTGAGAAGCCATCCGCCATTCAGCAGAGAGCCATCAAACAGATCATCAAAGGCAGAGACGTTATTGCTCAGTAAGAAAAAAAAAATGAATGAATGAATGCATTCCCAGAAAAGCCAAGCTTTTGCGGCTGTTGCAGTCTGATGACTACAGTTTTCCTCTGGCATATTTAATAGCCACTACTTTCTGGTGTGTTCAGGTCTCAGTCAGGAACAGGAAAGACAGCAACTTTCTGTGTGTCAGTACTGCAATGTCTGGACATTCAGGTCAGTTTGTGTCTGAACTCCTCAGATGGTTTTTGTCATTGTCTGATCATGATCATCGTCATCATCATACTGTGATGTTTCTTCTGCACAGGTCAGGGAGACTCAGGCGCTGATCCTTGCTCCAACCAGGGAGCTCGCAGGACAGATTCAAAAGGTATTGTTTCCTTAACACATGCTTTGTACCAGGTGTGACCATTTTGGTTGTGCTCTGTTCTAATTGCTTTGTGTTTTTTCAGGTCCTTCTTGCTCTGGGGGACTACATGAACGTTCAGTGTCACGCCTGCATTGGTGGGACCAACGTGGGTGAGGACATCAGGAAGTTGGACTACGGACAGCATGTGGTTTCCGGAACACCAGGGCGAGTATTTGGTAAGTGTCTGAGCAGCCAAAGAGAGTTTGTTCAAAGTTTGTTTAATTTGCTTATCACAAGAAAATTGAGTCGTGTTTGTTTGTCCTTAGCACAGGCTAATTTTAATCCCATGAACATTCCATCTGTATTATCACAAGAAAATTGAGTCGTGTTTGTCCTTAGCACAGGCTAACTTTAATCCCATGAACATTCCATCTGTAGGTTTTGTTAGTGTACAGTTGTCGTTCCACTCACTAAAATTACAATGAACAACAGATCTGAACTACGGCTGGGAAACTCACTAACCCGCCATGTCCTACAGATATGATTCGTCGCAGAAGTCTGAGGACGAGAGCCATCAAGATGCTGGTGCTGGACGAAGCAGACGAGATGCTCAACAAAGGTGAGCAGAGTGATCATATCACAGTACAGTTGATCGGAACTGTTTGAAACTGTGAGAAGCTGCTGTGTGTCTGAGTTTTCACCTCTTGATGTTAATGTTTAGGTTTCAAGGAGCAGATCTACGACGTGTACCGTTACCTGCCTCCTGCCACACAGGTGGTTCTGATCAGTGCCACGCTGCCGCATGAGATCTTGGAAATGACCAACAAGTTCATGACTGACCCGATTCGTATCCTGGTGAAACGGTAAGTCCAGCAGAACTTTCTCTATTGAGATCCTATAGATGTACAAAGGGCTGGACTGTAAAAACAATATGTCTCATTAGTATTTTTTTTATTCTATCCTGTCTTTCAATACCTTCCCCTGCCATGTGTGGGTGCCTGTCTCTCATTTTCTCTCCTCTGTGTGTGTGTACCTGTCTGTCTCTTACCCTCAGTGATGAGTTGACTCTGGAGGGAATTAAACAGTTCTTTGTTGCCGTGGAGAGAGAAGAGTGGAAGTTTGACACATTGTGTGACCTTTACGACACACTCACCATCACACAAGCCGTCATCTTCTGTAACACGAAGAGAAAGGTCAGATGTCAACACAGGCACAGATGCTGAACATACTTGATGATGTCAGTGATTAACTATGATGTCTGTGGTGGTGTCAGGTGGACTGGCTGACAGAGAAGATGAGGGAAGCTAACTTCACAGTTTCATCCATGCATGGTGACATGCCTCAGAAGGAGAGAGAATCCATCATGAAGGAGTTCAGATCAGGGGCCAGGTAACAAACACACACGCTTATTACCCAGGTCACATGGTCACTTTAAACCGTGTGATTTGTCTTGTTAAATGTGTTTTTGGTGAGTAACTTCTGAATTTGATTCAGATATCTGAATGGAGAGGTTGAAAGTCTATGTGTATTTGTGTGTTTTAAAGCCGTGTGTTGATCTCCACTGACGTTTGGGCTCGAGGTTTGGACGTTCCTCAGGTGTCTCTGATCATCAACTATGACCTGCCCAACAACAGAGAGCTTTACATCCACAGGTATGAAGGTTTGGTTTGTTGTATGTGAAGTGTACGGCTGTGAAGTAATTCATCAAGATATTTGCCAAACTGTAAACATGATTTTCCATTTGCATGAACTTACCTTTTTATTTTAAGTCAATTTCAATTAAAGCCATCGTTCTAAATTCCCTGATTGACTGAAACGTCCTCTCAATCCTAGGATTGGTCGATCAGGTCGTTATGGTCGTAAAGGTGTGGCCATCAACTTTGTGAAGAATGATGACATCAGGATCCTAAGAGACATCGAGCAGTACTACTCCACCCAGATCGATGAGATGCCCATGAACGGTATGCATTTCTTCTTGTGACTTCATTAACTCATGCAGTGCATGTTGGGATTTCTTCAGTGTTGGGTATTGGTAAAAATTACACTCATGCAGTGCATGTTGGGATTTCTTAAGTGTTGGGTATTGGTAAAAATAAACCCATCAGCTTATATCATGTTTTTGTCTTTGCAGTGGCTGATCTCATTTAATCACACCTAAATGATGTCACAACAAGGCTCCGCCCCTCTGATTATACCTGGATTACGTTGCACCTAATGCCTGTCTTTTTTTTTTATTAGTTTTAGTTTGTTTTTTTAATCCACTGTTAAGATAAAAATGACTTCCAGTCTGTGTTTTTGTAAATAAAGGTTTTGGTTCTATATTTCTGTGAAATTTATTTCTTTCCAAGATGAGAACAACATTCCTGACAAAATGTCTTTATCCAAAATACAATAGACTTCATCTTAAAATAGACAACTCAACACCTCACAATACAAATATGTAATCTTTACGAATATCACATCTAAAGATCTAAACATTTAAGCTTTCCCACAAAACAGCTGGAGAACGGGGAAAAAAATAAGAGGTCGATTGGCTTCTGACATTTAAAACGGTAACGGAAATAAAACCCAACCAGAAGAGGAATATCAATCCTTCTAATGATCTGTACCCTGATCACATGTTCACAGAAAAACCTGAGGTCCAGTCTGTTAGCTTTTAAAGGCTCAGTTCACATAAAATCACATAGTGTTCCTTCAGAAGAGGCAGTTACACAGGAGGCTTTGGTCACAAGGAGGAATGAGGAATTGACTGACAAACTAACCTGTCTGACTGAAAATACAGCAACCAGTGTGAGCACAGTGAAAGACCAAGTAGGTAGTGTAGTGTAGTGTGGAGTGGAGTGGATTCTGGAACACTGTCTACGGCTGACGTCTGATGAACCAGATCTCATTCCTGCGTCGGGGAACGCCAGGATTTTCGTACACAGCGACCAAGTACTCATTTGGGTGAATGTCGCCAACGCTGCCGAGGATTTCCCAGAATTGGCGGATCTGGTTGGAAATTGTCTCCTCTGTGGTCGTTCCCAGGAATGTCCTGTTAGTGAACAAAGAAGACACCGCTAACTGAACACCTTACAGACACTTGAACACAAATGTGCTGTCATGTCTGTCATGTCTGTCTGACTGACTGACTGACTGACCTAGCCACCACCCTGAATGGCTCTCTGTGGACGATAGTGATGTCAGAATCAGAGGGGTGCAGCGTATTGTTCTGAAACTCAGCAGGCAGGAAAAAAGAAGTCTGGACGTCTCGCTGAAACGTGACCCCGTCTTCTTTCAGTTGGACGTTACTCAGGACTGGAACCGTCATCCCCAGATATCGACCTGGATGTGATCCATGCATGGTTATGACACGGAGGAAATCATACTTAATAAAAATACTGAATGTGATCAATATCACCATAGTACAGTCATCATTTTCATCACTGGCTGATAAATGCTGAAGGTGATCAGTCCTAAAAAAACACCTTCTCTAAAGGAAACATGACTTGGTGTAATCCGTGTTCTTACTGCCTTACCTGCAGAGTTCTCTTTACAAATGAAGCGCATCAGTTTCATGAAGCCAATGGAGATGCTCTGCTCATAAAGGTCTTCCCCCTGGGTCACGGAGGCCCAGTAACCTGCCGGATACTCTCGCTCCTCATAGAGCAACTCCCCCATCTACAGGGGAGACATGTGATGTCACACGAGTTCCCTTACTCTACAAGCCCATCACCATCATTATTATTATTACCTTCTCGTGGCGGGAAATTGGTGTAAAAGAGAGCGGCTCCCTCAGCTGTCTGTTGCGGGTCATTTCCTGTATGGGAGCAGTCATTTCTACAACAAAAAAATAAAAAATATATTAAAAGTCTAAACTGAGTCTGAGTTGAGCTTGTAGTTGCATCAAGTCTGCACCAAGTCCAAGTCACTGAGCTCCAGTCCACTGGTTTAGTCCAGCTGAAGATCTTCTGGCCCGATTCTTTGTCCCACTTCTGACATATTCACCTGATGGAACAGACACCTGGTGTGTGCTGGCAACTGCCTGCCAATGAGCCAGCAGCCGCTCACTGTCCTCTTCATCCATTGGCTCAGGGTTGTCCGTGAAGTCATCCAGCTGCTCATCTTCAAGCCCTTCGAGATCATCCAGTGAAATCAGAGCCATGGAGTTCTACAGAAAAAAAAATCTTAATCAGAAAAATCCTGAGCCAATCCAGTCAGGAGGAGTCGTGAAAGGAGGGTTACGTTCGATTTGCTCTTTTACTTTGAAAGGTATATTTCCTGAAATCGGAATTTCTGATGTACAGTATGTCAATAATCAAATAGAATAATTTATGGTAAAAACCTAATCGTTTATTTCAAACATTCAAAACGTTTATTGGTTTATGTTTACTTATAATTCCAACGATTTCGTTCTAGTCTGAACTGGAACTCGAGCAGACTCGTGTTTGATCAGTAAGTAGGTCATCATGTGATCCGACTGAAACTCTGGATCTGGTCGGTCCACATCATCACTAACAAACCTGCACCAGATAAGAATTTAATCAGGATTCTGGAGCACACGGTTTACAACTGGACACGAGCACGGAGCTAACCACCCAGACCGGGTCTGGAACTAAGCGGAACCATATGCTGTTCCGTCTGGTTCCGTGGGTCTTACCTGTTCTTGGAGCCTCTGCAGAATCAACACTGCGTCTGTTCTTGTAATCGCGCGATAACTTATCGACAGCTTGAAGTATTTGTGTTGACTTCTGTGTTGTTGTTGTTTTTTTCCCCCTACTTCCGTTTGTCTACTTCCTTTAAAGTGTCGTCATTTAGTTGCCGGAGTTTGACGAGTGAAGCCGAGCAATTCCGATTACAGAGCGGAGCTGGCGCCCCCTCCTCCTAAAACCTGCTTCTCCATCTCCGGCGTGAGGTGTGAGAAAGAGCCGCCGCGAGAAAACGGAAGCCGAACGTCCACAGGTGGGTCTCACCCTGTACTTATCGATCACCATCGGTTCGTTATCGACATTTAAACGCTGTGATCAATCTGCCGCGTTTATGACGTCATCGTTTGACAGCAGCACAAGCGATTAATACTAATTGGTCAAGTGACCGATTAATCAAATCGATATGTTGTCGACATGTTGTGTGTGTGTGTGTGTGTGTCTGTGTGTGCGATGTTGTGTTTGCGTGTTTTCTGTCTGTGTGTGTGTGTGTGTGTGTGTGTGTGTGTGTGTGTGTGGTGCTTGTGTATTCTGGTGAGATCATCTGACGGCAGGAAATTCCTTCTGATTCTTTATATTCCTCTCTGTTCTTAACCCTGTCCTCGTTTTCTTGGGTTTCTTCTATATTTTTATTTCATCTTAAGACAGAGCGCAGTGTGTGTGCGTTTATACTTGGCCCTAAATCTGATTCTGAATCGGATCCTGAAATAGTTATGATAAAAAAAAAAATCTTAGTTCAATTTGAATCACCACATCACCCAGAAAGACTAATCCTGTTCCAGGTTCATCAATCTCATGACTCAAATATAACAGTGACATTGACGTCACTGTTATTATTGGATAACACTTAGGTTGTTGTAATCTTATTACATGTATCTTTTTCCACAGGTTGCAGGTGAATTCAGCTGACTGATTCACAGTGACCTCACTCCAGGTGTCTCAATGTGACTCTCCTCGTCTGCACCTGGAGTGGTGGTGTCTCAGCAGCGACCTCAGGTGGTTTAAGGTCATAGCACTTTTCTCCACGTCTCGAGGTCCTCACTTGGGACACTGCTGGCTGCAGGTGACAACAGCTGGTCTACACCTGGAGTGGTGGTGTCTCAGCAGCGACCTCAGGTGGTTTAAGGTCATAGCACTTATCCAGGAAGACACTGCCGGCTTCAGGTGACAACAGGTAAATCTTTTTTTTTTTTTTTGTCACCTGTAGACACCATTGACTTCCGGTGTCTACAGGTGACGTCAGGTGAATCCCTGTTACTGCAGGTATTTCCAGGCGATTCTGGGCGGTTCCATCTGAACCATGCCGCTTGTGAAGCGCATCATCGAGCCCAGGTATCTGTGTCGGGGGAAACTACCTGATGGTGTCGCCAGTGAGCTGGAGTGTGTAACCAACAGCACCCTAGCGGCCGTCATCAAACAGCTGGGAGGCCTCAGTGAGTGGCGGTGGACGCGGTGAGACGCTCGTCCTTGATGCTACTGTTGATGACACGCTTGTGTCCCCTGCAGGTCGGTATGCAGAAGACATCTTTAGTGAGCTTTTCACGGAGGCAAACAGCTTCTACCTGAGGATGAGCCACCTTCAGGAGAGGGTGGAGCTTCTAGCTGTGAAGGTCACTCAGCTGGACTCTACAGTGGAGGAGGGTGGGTCACATTGGACACCCGTCTGGGCTGGTGATTAGGTCTAACAGCAGGTAAAAAACAAAAAAACAAAACAAAATCACGTCTGTTGTGTAGTTTCTCTGCAGGACATCAACATGAGGAAGGCCTTCAGGAGCAGTACTGTCCAAGACCAGCAGGTGGTGTCACGCAGATCCATCCTCAACCCAGTGTTGGAGATGTACCAGCGATGTGACAAACCTCCACCTCTAAACATCCTGACACCCTACAGGTCAGACTAAAGGGTCAGATCGGCCTTTGGTATTACACCCTGTATTCTGATATTGTACATCGGGCGCCCCCTGCTGGTTCAATTAGCCTTAGACAAAATGGCTGGCTCTTGATAAGAAGAGGTGGTGACTTGAGTCATTATTCTGTCATTAGCTTGCGGTGGTGGCTAAAATCTGTTTTGTTTCTGTGTTTGTGTAGAGATGATAAAAGGGATGCCCTTAAGTTCTTCACTGACTCGTCGTATTTCTTCGACCTGTGGAAGGAAAAGATGCTTCAAGCCACAGAGAATAAACGCAAAGAGAAAAGACGACACAAGGTGAAAACAGCTGTCAGTAGTTTCTTGATTTGTTGATTGATTTGTTGATTGATTTGTTGATTGATTGGTTCACTGATGGATTGACTGACTGACTGTGTGCAGGAGCAGAAACATGTGGAGGAGTCTTCAGGGCGTGAAGTGAAAAAGGTTTCTGTTCTATATATATTCTATATATATTCTTGAATCTGAATTCTACTCATAATTCTGATTAATGTTGTTATAAAACATATGTATTTAAAAGGGGCCAACAATAATGGACATATGGAACAGATTTATTTTTAAAACATGTCTTATGTGGCTCATGGCCTGGATTACAATCCTTTAATAAAGGCCTGGACTGGAAGTGGAATAGTTTCATATTAGGCCTTGATTTGGAGAAGAACTGTACAAAAGATTGGAACTGGAGCCAGAACTTGGTCCACAACTATATCAGAATTTGTTTTAAATATGATTTAAATTTGATTCAGATTTCTGTCTCATGTTTAGGGCATTTTTTAAAATATTTTTTTTGTTCAAAGGTTCGTAAAGCTCGAAACAGACGGCAGGAGTGGAACCTGATGGCATATGACAAGGAGCTGCGTCCAGACGCCCGAGTCACTCCCTCTCCGAACCACATGTCCGAAGGCTCTGAGTCACCTGACAGGTAACGTCACATGACCAGGTGCTGGGTTAGCTATCAAGTCTGACTTCAGTAAAGATTAGATGCTAAATTTGCAGAGTCACATGTGATCTGATACTATTAACCCCGCCCACAAGGTCAAGGTCAAGTGATGAGCCTTGCATGACTGCCAGCCCCCGCCTTCCTAAAGCCCAGGGTCATGAGGTGAAGGACCATGTGACCGCTGTGATGACCAGCAGCGGGCAGACGCAGTCTTTGGACAGAGGTCTTCGCCCCAATGTCGCCACAACCTCAAGTGGACGCCAACACTCTTTGAGCCGCAGCAATCAGGCTCGCACACCTGCTGTTTCGACCAATCAGAGTGCAGGCCGGGCCACTGCTGCTAAAGAAGCCAAGTATGTAAAAACTAGGGATGACCGATGTGACCGATATGCTGATATTGTCCAAACACTTCATTTACGATTCTGATATATACACACTGAGTTCTTTACCTTTGATCTTAGTGACCTTCACGTACCTCCTGCACCTCCTCCTCCTCCGCCCCCTCTACTGCCCTCAGTGGGAACAATGGGAATTTCCAACAGTTCCATCCACGCTGCTGCCGGGGCAACACCTGTACAACACGCAG